CAACACACCAGGGGTGCTGGGAGACACTCAGGGCACAGTCAGGTGGTTGTTAACTGTTTCTCTAAAGTAATAAAGTCACAGCTGGTGCTAGGGAAAGACAGGCTCCTAATAGAAAACACCTGACACGAATCAGCAGCTTCCCATAAGATCTCGCCAGTCGCCAGGCCAGTCGCGAGGAGAAAGGCGAGATCCCGGAAGTAGGCCGACGGATGAAGGCCCAAGTCCAGTGGTAAGCTGCACACTTGATTTCTCAAGCTGCCGCCTTGGACCTCTTCCGAGTTGTACTTTGCTTTGTTTCTTTCCTTGTTGTTCTAAAGATTTTTAGTAAACTTTCACACCAGCTCTGAAAAGAAAAAATTCTAGATCTGCCCCTTGTTAGCTCCAGAAAGGCCCTTTGTTTTGTTTTGTCTTCTCGTTGGTGTGTGTTTTCGCTTGCTCAGGATCCCCAAGAAAGTGTTTTCATTCTTTTAGTGTCTTCAGTGTTACCTCCGCGTTTTACAAATTTGAGCCCATTTCCACCAGCTGAAAACACAGAATGCATAGGATACGGACTCCTTAATTTGCCTCTTGTTTAGTGTTTCTTCAAGTCTTTGAAAGACATACAGCTTCCTTGAAGTGGATGAGTGTTCTTCTGCCATGTTTCCTCGCTACCCACCATGGGCTATGTATTCCTTCCCTACGTCCATGTCCTCCAGGCCTTCTGACCTCGTCCCTCCCTGCCTGCTACCCGCAGTGACTTTCCCTTCTTTTCCCCCGGCTCCCTCTCCTTGGGCTGAAAGCAGGCAAAAGGCGTCTCCAGACAAAGAACCAACCTTGAGCAGCAGTCTTCCTGTATTCCGCTTTTCCTTTGAAGTGACAATGCTCCTGTCAACAAGACGTCTGCCTCCTCACTCCTCATTCACTCAGCAATTTAAATGTACTGTTCTACTAAAAGGTCTCTGGAACCTCCAAAAATAACAATAAGTGATTCAGTCTTACTCCTGCTTCTGAGTGATATCGTTGCACATGTGGTCACTGATGTCACTCCTTGTTTGCTGAAATCCTCTCCTCTCCAGGACTCCATGGCCCTGCAGTGTCCAGTCTCTCCAAGCAACCCTTCCCTGACCATTTTTCTGTCCCTGCTTCCCCAGTGTGGCTCCTGTCCCTTTTCCCTTGCCCCTTCTCTACCTTGAAGATCATAACAACTTTAACTCCTAGCATAGTGGTTTTCACTCTTGGCTGCCCAACCTTTGTGTCCTTGAGGAGCTTTAAAAAACAATCCTGATATCCAGGTCCCATCCCAACCAATTACACCAGAATGTCTAGGAATGGGTCCTGGTGGGGCTTTAGGGAGTGGATTCTTAAATCTTTAGACTTAGCTTCTCACCTGAACCTAATTTTCTGAAATGCCTCCATTTTTAGTCTGATTATTGGCCGGATGAATATTTCCATCTGGGCAACCTAAGAGCCTCATGATGTTCCTTGTAGATCTGATCCTTTTCCTATTTTCTCCTGTCACTCAGGCTTGAAGGCTGTGATTGTCCCTAACTCTTGGGATCCACTAAGTGTGAGGGCTGCTTGTTTCCCTTCCTCGAAAACTGGCAAAACTCTCTCCTCTGTTTCAGATACGCAAGTCTTACGTCTCACCTGGACTGACAGGAAGCACCTGCCAGAGTTTCTCCAAGTGCTCCTCCTCCTAGACAGGGCTGCCAGGACTAACTTTAGAGCCAGGGGATGATTTTTTTTTTTCTCTGCTCCAAATCTTTCCTGACTTGACGCTGTTCCCCAAAGGCTTCGTGGTGTGCTTTGATCCCTGCCCTCCACCCACTCTCTCTCCTATACTCTGCCAAAAATCAGTAACTTCCCGCTACCCTGACAGTCCTCCAACATTTATCGTAACTTGGCTCAAGCTGTTCTCTTCCTCATACCCCCTGTGCCTCTTGAAATCCTTCCCATCCTTCAAAATCCAACTAAAATGTCACTTGTCCAGGACGACTTCTAGCATTTCTACATCCTATACAATCTTGCATTCCTACTGTCATAGAGACCATATTCTGTCTTGGGTTAATTGTCATTGTCTTATAACTAGATTATAGGCAACTTGAGAATAGGGCCTGTGTTGTGTTCACCATTAGTGTTTTTATATAGCAGCGATTTGAAAATTTTTATTACACTAAATTAAGGAGGTTTGCCTATGCGAGTGCTCTTGTTGGCTCACATAGCCCCTAAAGTAACTTTATAAGCCATTAGACACAATTTTATTTTTAAATTGACAGCTCTATTTGTTAATCATAAATTTAAATATTGCAAAGAATGTATTTCCTCTTGTATGCATGTATGCTTTAAATATAGTTTGATTTAAACCTTAAGTAATTATAGATTTGATGCCTTTAATCTCAAACTTCTACACTCAAATGATCCTCCTGCCTCTGGTTCCCAAAGTGTTGGGATTTCAGCTGTGAGCCATTGTGCCCGGCCCTGATGCCTTTAATCTATGGAAAATATGTGATACATAATCTCATAGTCAATCACACATTCAATCAGAAATCTGACTTTATTTGAAAACTCAAATGTAGGTGCTAATTCTGAGATCACCAAGAACTCTGCTCGGGCTCCTCGATGAAGGATGGTGTTATCCACTTAACTATTTCTTACTGCTCTCTTGATTCTCCCTGGGAGGGCTGCATTCTTCAGTTGTCCCTTTGTTTAATTCCCTAGAGGTTTTCACACGGTGATGCACCAGTGGAAAATGCAGGACAGGTAATAGATGGAGGCTTTCCTTGCAAGGTAAAGTGCCCTTGTACAGAGCAGGTGGACACGCAGATAGCCTGTTGGGGTTTTAGAAAATGTGCCTCCCACTTAGGAGGTCAGAGGTCAAAGGTCAATTTACTGCTTCACAGAATACCGGGTTCTTCCAGTGAAATCACTCTCCAAGAGGCAGTTTCATCGGGAAAAAAAGATTCCATCAAACTCCTAGAGCTCTTCAGGTCAGGCTCTGGTTTGTGGTTGCCAGTTACCCTCCCCAGGGGTGGTGGCACAGACTTAAGCTTTTATGAAGTCCCAGGTCACTGAGTTGCCTGGGTGATCTGCTCCCAAATGCCCAGCAAAGGTTTGGTTTAATTCTAGGGTGTTGCTCCATTGTTTATACTCATATGTTTACAATCACAGCTGTTATTACCACCAATAATCATAATCTCTACACATATAACTGGGGCCCTGCACACATTAGGGGTGATGTAGAACTTACTAAACACAGGACTCTTAGTATTTTAAGACTTGGAAAGTATTCTTGTGAGTATACAGGCATCCTGTCTGGCACTATGGTTGCCTGAAATGGAAATGTCTGTTAAATCCAAATTCTTTCAGAAAAGAGGTCATTTGACTTTTACCATGAGTTTGGCCTGAAAAATAGCAGTAACAAGGGGGAAAGGGACAAATTCAACTTTGAGGAGCCCCAAGGTTACAGTTTTTGGGGAAACACATTAAAAAGAGAATATAAACTTTCAAATAAGATTCAGGGCCCAAGCAAGTGTCAGTTTCTGTAGCTTTACAGCAAATCCATGTCTACTGGAGATATACAATCAGGTTTCTGGTGGCATGTCTCATGCTTGGAATACACATTTGAGGCTATTCCTGGCATGTGTGTACCCCAGTAGCCACAGGCTTTACTGCCTCTGGGGGCTGTGCCTCCCTTGCTTGGAAGGTGATCCAGACCTTGATAGAAACAGTGGGTTTTCCCGCTGAATGCCTGCCTGTGGTTCTAAATTGGTGGGCTATGGGCCAGATGTGGCTGCATCTGGTTTGTTGTGGTAGTTTTTTTTTCTTGTGCAGCCTTTCTTACAAATGTGAATTAAACTTGTCAAACTTTAAAAACCAAAACATTTCAAATAAAGACCTGATTTTTCTTTCCTTAAGAAACTGGAATACTGTTCCATACTGGACTTGACAAACCAGCAGCTTTAGGGAGGGTATACTCGCACTTTGGACAGTCCCCACCTGACTCCTTCCTGTGTTCAGATTTTCCTGTCTGTACCTTGGAGATGTGAATTCATGGTAAGGCCCTGTCCAAGCCAGCAGGGGCCTTGCTGGCCTCCCCCTAGTTTCTGCTCTGTCTCTGTCCTAGTCCTTTGATCTCTGACTTCCTGTCTTTTTAGTGTCTTAGTAATTTGTATTTATTTCTTTTAAAATAAGTTGTGCAGTATGAATATTTATACTCCATTTAAATTAGTTTTGTATAGGTCTTTTTCAGCTTGTACTGGCCCATTCTCAGATGACTTCATAAAGAACGGCATGTACAGATTTCTTAATTTTTGTGTTCCATTTTACATGTCACCTCCTTTGTACAAATGATGCACAATATTAAAAATTTTTGTATTGGAATAAAAGATGGACAGTTTGGGAACTTTAGGCCCCCTAGTGACAGGTGGCGAGGGGAGTCTTGATTAGTGTTGAAGTGTTCCTTCTGATTGTCAGGTCCTTGATGGCAGGGTTGTAATCAACCAAGGGTCAAGCAGAACTTTCTCTTCCTACCACAGGCATTGTAATTCATGATAAAAGCTATGATTGACCAGTCACTTTGGATCTGTTCACTGCTGCTCACTATGCTGGCTTCTGCATGAACTCATGGGGATTTTGCATGAAAAACAATTCGGAATTAAAAGGAAAAAATGTGATGGAATTTATTACAGATTGATACTTTAGATCCTTTTTGAAGAAAGGTAAAGTATCAATGTAGCAAGCAACAGAACTATACTGCCAATTCATAAATCATTTAGTAAGCTGACAAGCAAATACCTACTAGACTGAGAAAACTGTTTACTTAGGCCAAAAAAGCCAACAGTCTTTCCCATGTAATGACACTGCATTTAGATTCAAGTTTCAAAAGAGTCCCATTTGGGGCATTAAACTTATACTTAAAAAAAAAAAAAAAAACTGAAGTTTTGAAAAACTAGGTTAACCCCCCCCCAGTAATAATCTATTTCAAATTAACACACAGCCTATATAGTTGGAAAAAGAAAAGATTTTTGGATATATATTTTATTTGACAGTGTTTTAGAATATCATACAGTAAACAAGATTTCTGTAAAAGTTAATTTATCCATAGTGGTGCGTTTCATAAAAATAGTTGCTCACTTACAGTCTTTCTGTGACTATTAATACATGAAATTATATTTATAGAGATACAGCTGTACAGGGTAAATTCACAGCTAACACTACACAGAAATATTATTTGGAATGGGATTTAGATGATGTGCTGTCTTCACAGGTTATGGATTACAGCCGCATAAAGCAATTACTGCACAAGTAGTAGCTGTGAACTGTGCAAATTAGAGTTTATGCCAGTGTAATCTCAATTTTTTTTTCCTTTTGTAACACATGGAAAATAAAGGTCAGAGGATACAGTACCAGGACGTGCAGCTACACTACAGAAGCATTGTCCAAAACCAGATTCAATAAATTAATGGCAAACTATACTGGATTTCTAGTCCAGGGGAGAAAGACTAATTGAGATTAAACCAAAAGCGTTATAAACTGCTACAAGTGTTTGTGCTTTTGTTTATGATGGATGGGTTTCATTTTCGGACACTGCTTTTACAAGCTGCAAGACCCTTCACTTGAGGCTTTCAACCTTATTCTCCTCGTGTCAAACAACTAAACTACTCCGATGTCTGATGATTAAACTGCTACTCAGGATACTGCAATTACAAGGAGGGGGAACAGTCAGTCCAGGAAGGCTATTATGTGTGACCTTTGAGACAGACCTTATCGCCTCTTTTAATTAGACTACAGTGTAGGGAGGTGAAGCTTATTTGCATTTGAACGCCTGTAAAGAGTAAGAATATGGGAAGGATGAAGCCTCATTCATTTACGTCATATTAAAAAAAATTGCCTTCAGAAACACTTTGCCTTTTAGTATGTGTAGCTACAGTAAGTACCAATGGATAATTAATTGAAGCTGATATTTAACAAAGAAATGCTAAAATAGCGGGGAAGAAAGGCAAGCCTTAGAATTTTACTAGGAGGCCAATCACAGATTCATGGAGATAAACATCTAGAGGTTGCTAACAAAATAAAAAACTGACAAAGAATACAAGACAAAAGCAAACCAATGGAAACAAAAGGAAGAAAGATAAGCAGAAAGGAATGCTAAACGGACTCACGTTCTTTAATGAAAATAAATTGGTTATAATTTTTTAATATTAGAGATTCATTATAATCTGAGAAATATAAGACAAATACTCTGCCTCCCTCTGTCAAAGTGCAAATGAAGTCATGGAGAGAGGGTTTAAAATAAGACAAAAAAATAAGTGAAATATCACATTGCTGACAAAGAAGCTATCCATCTCTGCTAGCCTGGGACGACAGAAAAGCCTCTTCATAAAGGAACTGCAGCGTTGCCAATCTTGATTAAACAAATTGTGGTCCTTCAATTATAAAATTTATAGTTTAGAGAAAAACCAATTAAGACCTATGAGCTAAACTGCAAAATTCTGACTTACAGCAAACCGTTCCCTAGGATACAATTTTTAAAACCTTTTTTTCCTACCACTGAAAATGTACAGAAATAAGATTTGATCACAGAAATGGCAATAAAAATGGCATCACACCAATAAACTCACTAGATTTCTAAGTCATCCTGCAGAAGGCAGGGAACGCTGCTGCTAACACCAAGGATGGATGCCAAGGGTGAGCCATGGAAACATGTCATGGGTGAACAGTTCCGAATGTGTCAAAGAAACCCTTTAACCCCTGTCTAGATATGTCGAGAACAATTTATTTACAACGCTTTAGATCAATTAAAAGATATAATCTTGTCTCAGTTTCAGCTTGCTCCGTGCAGTTTGATTTTTAAGGCGATATTCCAGTTTGTGATTGCTCTTAACTTGTCCGGTTTCTTGATATAAAGTTTGGATGACATCCAAATCCTTCATGCAGTGGGGAGGAATATTTTTCTTAAACTAAAGCTACACTGCACTGTCTCTCTGTGATGTTCTTCACGTTATTTTGGTTCTTCCATAGCTGCCAAAGCCCCCACAATGGAACCGGGGGCTTTAGGATCAGTTTAGGTCTGTGCGTGGACGCGCTGCCGCCCATGCACACTGGACACGTGGGACTTCACGTCGATGCTCCCAGGCCTGGTGCCTCGTGGATCTATGCGTGTGACAGTGAAAATAAATTAAAACGCCGTGAGACAGAACCTAAGAAGAACGGCCTGCGTCGAGGCGGGCTGGGGGGCGGGCCGTGGCCGCGCGGTTCATCTGGCGGCCGAGGCGCCGGGTTTGAGGACGCCCGGCAGCTTGTCGGAGCCCGGCACCTTCCAGGGCCCCGGCGCGACGGCGGCCTTGCGCGCGGGGGCGCCCCCCGGGGGTCGCGGGCCAGGCCGGGGGCCCGCGCGCGCACCTGCCCTGCCCTCGGCCTCCCGCGCGCCGCCGCCGCTCGTGCCGGCGAACGCGGGCGCAGCCCCGGAGCCTTCGCGCCTGCAGAGCTCGGAGCCCGCCGCCGCGCGGGGCGCCTCCTTCCCGCCCGCCCGCGCCGCGTCCGCCGCCGCGGGCCCGGGCGCCCTGGCCTCCGAGGCGGGCCTGCCGGCCTCAGGCCGCCCCTGGCCGCCGGGCGCCTCCTCGAGCCTCGGCCGGGCGGCCCTCTGCGGACTCGCCGAGCGCTCCCTCTGCTCCCCGAGGCGCTGCTTCTTCTGGCCGCAGGCTGAAAGCTCCTTTGGTTTCCTAACGTCGTGTTCCCGTTTGATATCCCAAGTTGGGCCTGGGCTTATCTGGTGGGAAGGGTCGGAGGGTGGGGCTGGATGTGATGGAGAGAATGGAGCGAGGCCGTCGTCCAGGGAGACGCCTACTTCCGGCAGACCTGGGGCGGCGGCAGCGGGAGAACTCCAGGGGGCGGGTTCGTCTGTGGACGCGAAGCACAGCCGTTAGCAGTGGCGCGCGCAGGCCATCCTCGCGCCCTCTCTATGCCGGGGACAGGGGCAGGCAGCCGGGGCGACTGCTCTTAGGGGCCGGAGCCAATGCCACTCCCACCCTCACTGCCAAGAGGGCAGCGGCTATGCCCCCGGGGATTTGGGGGTTCCCTCTGCCCCGCTTATCCCCTACGACCCGAATCCCGTCCGTGGACCCGGGAGGCCAACGCGAAGCCCGGGCCTAATCCCTTCGCCTTGGCCTGGTAACTTCCCGGGGTGTCCTCGGGTCTGACAGTCTTGTGTGGACAGCTCACTTGACAGCCCTTGAATCAATGGGTCTCTAGCTCGAGCAGACCTCGGAATCACCAGGGTGGTGGTGAAAAATACAGATTCCCCGGGAGGACCAGACCCGGAGTTGTGAGCTGCACGGGGCCCAGGAAGGTCTCTGTATTTTTATCAGGCACCCTGGTGATTCTGAAAAAGGTGGTCTAGCAGAGATGTCCAATCTTTTGGCTTCCTTGGGCCACATTAGAAGAAGAATCGTCTTGGGCTACACATAAAATACACTAACAGCCAATGAGCTTAAAAAAAAAAAAAAAAAAAGGACCATGTATAAATCTCATGTTTTAAGAAAGTTCACAGATTTGTATTGGGCCACATTCAAAGCTGGCCGCGGGTTGGGCGAGCTTGGTCTACAGCCAAGCTTAGAGAAACACAGGTCTGGGTTCTAAGTTGGGAAGTGACGTTCTCAACCAGTAGGTGTCACTCAAAGCATATTCCTAGCTGCCGTCAGTTTCAGAATTTGGATACATTCATTTTAAAAGATCATTGTTTTTTAAAAGTCGTCCTTTTTTTTTTCTTTTTAACCACAATCAGAAGAAAAAAATCGTTGTCCTTAATTCTTTTTTTTTTCTTTGCCAAGTCTGGATGAAACTTAATTCTTTTTAGTACTTCTAACATTATAGAGTGCCCCAAGACTAAGATAATTCTAGGAAGCCTAGTTCCAATATTTACTTAAGATTTAAGTTATATACTTCCAAAAAGGATTTAGGACAATTGACAACATCAAAACACGTATAAAACAATGATAAAAATGAGAGATGACTTATTTTTTTAAAAAGCAACAGCTGATCAGAAGCCAAGTAGAAGGACAGATGTATTAGGAATCTGAGATGAGTTAGCTACTACTGTGAGCAACAGCTAAGGGGAAATGAAAGCAGGGAAATCCAATTACTGTGATTCCTTGATATTTGTAAGAAATATGTCTCATGTCCTTGAAAATGCTCAAATTTTGTGATATCATTCCAGAGTGTAATTTTTCTTCCATAGAATTGGCATAGGGTCATGAGTGGAGAGCAAAGAAATCACATTGATAGATCTGAATTCTGAGTGCCAGGTGAGCCTCCCTCACTAGCTAAGAGATTCGTTCCCACACGGCAGCCTCAGTACATGTGATTCAAGCTCCTGCCTCTGTACCATGTCGGAGGCTGTCAGGGATGCTTGCGTATACTCAGTCCATTAATGTCCAGGGTCTACATTGTTTGAAACTTGAGGATTCTTATATAGTACCTTTGATACTGATTTGTAAAGCAATAAGAAGAGGAAAAGAGCAGTGGTGTTGGTTTTCCCGATAATTCTGGCCATCTTTAGAATGGCAAATCAAAAATGTTTCTCATTCTATGTGAAATTCAAATGGAACATTTTGGGCATGATGTTAACCTTCCTTCTTCCATACACTGATGTCCATTATCATTTTCACATAGTGAGTGAAATTCTAGAAGAGCATCAGAAGCCCTGGAATCTAATCCTGGCTCTGGCATGTATTTACTGGTGCTATGATTTTTGGACAAACAACTAAATCTCTCTGAGCCTCAATTTATTCCTTGTTAAGATGGGGATAAAATATCCAGTTTTACAGATGTGAGACATAGACTTTATAAGGGAAAGCACTTTTCAAGGAGAGGGTCAGTCACATTTTTTCTTTTGCACCCCACCTGCTGCCTACTTAGAGACTGAGCTCCTGTGAAAGCCAACTCACTAGTACCTGTGCAGGTGAGGTTTTGAGTAAGTGCAATAAGGCAGTCATTTCCATGTGCTATGATTCCCAGGTGTGGTTTTGCTACACCTCAGGTATCCATGGTTACCTTAAGGAATAGTCTGAAATCCTTAAAGGCAAATGTATCCAGTGGAAATGAGAATGTGTTCTACTTTTGGCTGAGAGTTTAAAATAAAACTAACAAATGATAGCTTGTGGCAATCCACCCATCTAGGGAGATACAGTCTAGAAGAGTTAAAAAGTGATCTTCAAAAGGACTAAAGAGAGGGTAGTGTGTGCAAAAGTGATCTCTGACTTCTACCATGGTAATGATATTTCACATTTTAATAGCTCTTTTCCCCATCATTACATCACATATGGTAGAGTTAATTAGCTGGCCTCAAATTACTTCTTAGATACAGGGAGAAGGTTGATATTATTCACACCATTTTCTGAAGGAGGAATTGAAGCAGAGAGAGGTTAAATAACTTGACCAAGATTACAAAATGGTCCAGTCGAGAGTAAAATTTTAGGTTCCTTACTCTTTGTTCTTAGAAATTGTCCCAAGATGTTACCTTGCAAATAGGATCAAAGTATATGAAACGGGCATGGACAGTGGCCACTGCCACCCAACAGCAACTACATCTTGTCCTTAAGTAGAAGACGTAGCATTTATTTCTGACCATCTTACCACATGTCTGGCATTGAACTGGAGAGTTCCTATCCAGGAAAATGAAAAACTATTAAAACCAGATGAATAAATGTCCATCCATCATTAGTTGGTCTCAAATTACTTCTGAGATTCAGAGAGACACTCTTTTCTTTCCCTCCTCCAGTGATTTTTCATATGGTAAAATGTAAAATTATTCACAAATTCAAAGATTCCTCTTATAAAAGTTTCTCAAGAGTTTGTTTATAGATCATTAAACACTTAACAGTGAGAGAAACTAAAAGCTAAAATGTTCCGAGTCACTACTGATTAAAAATATTAATGAGAAATTAAAATTTACTATATCAAAGTGATTTAAAAGATGGATGTATATATGAGTGGTTGAATACTTTCATTTTTCTGCATAGAAACTCTTCAGTTCAGTGTCAAACGTGGTACTTGCACAGGCATGAGCCTGCAAAGCTCTGTAAAGTACCAGGGGCCTCTTCAGCAGGCAGCCCTTATCCTACCTTGCCCTATCACCTGCCTCAGCAAGGTGACACAGAGTGTGGTGGACAGGAAGGGTACTTCTCTAAGATTGGAAAATCTAGTTTTTATGAGATCTTGACATGCAATAACAAGGAGAGTTCAATTTAGTTCTGCTTCTTTCAGACCATGTTTTTCTTCTTGCCTGCCTGCCTCCCTCCCTGCCTCCCTCCCTGCCTCCCTCCTTGACTC